AATGTCGCTAGTGGAAGATACCATGAAGGCAAGCAAGAAGGAGGAGCCAGCTGGCACCATGGAGGGTGCCGCTGATCGCGGCGATGCTAGGGAGAGCGCCGCCTCGGAGTCCACGAACGCCGCAGGAGGGGCACCGTGGACCGGGAGTGCGCAGGACGGGAAGTACCTGCGCGAACCTGTTCGAGAGTCTGGCCCGTCAGGGCGACACAGCGGCGAAGCAGGAGAATTGTCCCCCAGGAGGTGAGAGTAGCCGCTGCTCACAACCAAGATTAAAGTAGTGCCATGGGAGATGGTGGTGTTGCTGTTGGCTTTGGATACGGAGCCACAACCCCAGCGACGGGGTACCAAAGTGTGCGGTACACTTCTCCTCCGTTCAGCGGGAAATCGAAAGATTTCAACGAATGGCTAAATGATTTCCGCATGGCAGCTAATGGCGCAAACCTGTTGGAACAATTTGAAGAGAGCGGGAGCTTGGAGATCCCCGTCAACAGCGGAAAGAGCAAGTTTTCGCTGTCACAGCAGTACCGGAGCGAGCAAGTAGAGCTCGCATTCCACACGTGGAACGATCTGTCTCACGCGTTGAAAGAAAAAGATCGACAAATCATGAAGAGGGCAGAGACGCCCCAGGGAGCTCTTCGTGAGCTCAAGACCATACACGACCCTGAATCATCTGTACAGCCGTCAGAGGACCTCAAGTCCATGACGTCGACCAAGATCTCTAGAGGTGAAAACCCCCAAACGCCCTAAATGAGATGCTCCAAACCACAAAGTCCTTAACCGAGAAAGGGCTAACTGTCAACGAACCGTTCGTCCTTCACCTCTTCCTGGATGCCCTTTCGGACGAGTATGCCATGACAAAGCACAACCTGCGACACGCGAAGGAGTTGACGCGGACCGGTGTGCTAAAGGAAGTAATGATCGAATACAAGGCGATCAAGGACAAGCTGGAGCAGGGGAAAGGAAAAGGGGCGAAGGGCGCAGAGCAAGCGTACTTCGCCGACGGTGAGGGCCGCAGGGAGCGGTACTCAAGTAGGAGTCAGGGGCAAGGTCGTGGTCGTGGCGGCGGCCGTGGCCGCAGCAGCAGTCGTGGCCGCGGCGGAGGCGGTCGCGGCGGCGGCGGCGGCGGTCGCGGCGGCCGCTCAGGCGGATCCGGAGGAGTCGAGGAGAGCAAGGGAAGCAGCAGTGGAGGCGCCGATGGCGGCGGTGGCGGGGACTATAAGTTCCCGGGCCGGTGCTTTAGGTGTGGACATCGTGGACATCAAGCGATCGGCTGCACTACCAACGAGAAGGACTTCGTGCCGTGGTGTGCGCGCTGCGAGGGGTGGGGCCACACCAAAGAAAAGTGCGCGACGGAGGAGGCCGTCCTAGCGCAAGTGGTGGAGCATGAGAGCGACGTGGACTCCGTGGAAGACCAGGCGTTTTGTGCCGTGGCAGTCCCCCCAGGTGAGTGTGGTACCGTTGGTGAAGTAGGTCTAGTGGGGGTTGTGGAACAAGGCCAGGCGGTGTACGTGGCCGACACAGCGGCCACGTGCTCCATGTTCCGATGTGCAGACAACTTCGTGAACTACCGTGAGCGTAGCGGTTGGGTGAAGGGGATCGGAGGCGACAAGGCCCCCGTTCCTCTTCTAGGATACGGAGATGTGACCTTAGTCCTACAGACGGAAGATGGTGGAGTACCCGTACCAGTACTGAATGCTGCCCATGTACCAGAAGCCCCCTACAACCTCCTCTCGCTGTCTTCGTTGGCGGAGGAGGGCCACACGTATTCGCGGATGAAGGGGGGCCTCACGCTGACCACGAAAGCCGGGGGGGAGGTGTGGTCCCCCTGGACTGGAAAGCTGCTGACCCAACGAGGCTATCAAATAAAGCCAACGCCATACACCGCCTGTGCCGCACACATTGTTCCTGGCGATGCGGAAGCAGCCGACCCCACTGACCTCAACGAGTACCACCTCGCGCACGGCCATGTCCACGAGACATTGCTCAGGATCACGGCGGAGCAGCAGGGAGTGCAGTTGACGGATGGACCGCTGCTACCCTGTCTTGGCTGTTCGATGTCCAAGGGACAGGTGAACCCTGTCCAGAAGAGCACGAGCACATGCACAGTTAAGAAGTTATTTTGCGTGTATCTCGACTTGGGGGGAAAGATGAAAACCAGGAGCATTGGTGGCAACTGGCACACACTGATCATCAGAGACGATTTCTCCCGTTGGACGCGTGTTTTATTCTTGAAACACAAGTCTGACGCAGCGGTTGGGTTTGAGAAGTTCCTGGCGGGCTACCAACGAAAGGGGTTCGGTGTGAGGTATATATCGCATGTACCGACGGTGGCGGCGAGTTCCAGGGGCAGTTTGCGGAAGTTTGCCGCAGACACGGCAT